CCCCCCCCCCCCCCCCCCCCCCCTCCCCCCGCCCCGCCCCGCCTCCACCAGGTGTCGCGCTCCCCGATCTACTCGCAGTTCTCCGAGACGCTCTCCGGCCTCACCACCATCCGCTCCTACGGCGCGGAGCGCCGCTTCGAGGCGGACGCGGAGCGGCTCGTCAACCGCAACACGCGCTCCGCCTACGCGCAGTACCTGCTCCAAGCCTGGGTCTCCCTCTTCCTCGACATGATGGCGTCCTCCATCGTGTTTTGCGCCGCGCTGCTGCCGCTGGTCGCCCTCGAGCTCGGCTGGACCATCGAGGTCGCACTCGTCGGCCTCTCCCTCACCTACACCTTCGAGCTCTCGCAGTTCCTCAAGCACGCGACGCGGATGACGCTCGAGCTCCAAAAGTCCTTCGCCGGCACCGCGCGGGCTCGCGGCGGTCGCCCGCCCCACACCTCTGTCCGACCCCCCGGCCCGGCTGCTCCCCAGGCATCGAGCGCATCGTCGAGTACATCCGCCACGTCCCGGCGGAGCGGCAGGGCGGCGACGCGCCGCCCGCCGCCAGCTGGCCCTCTGCGGGCGTCATCGTCGTCACCAATCTCACCGTCCGCTACCGGCCGGAGCTGCCGCCGGCGCTGCGGGGCGTGAGCTGCGCGATCCCCGCAAAGGCAAAGGTGGGCGTCGTCGGCCGCACGGGCAGCGGCAAGTCCACCTTCCTCTCGACCGTCTGGCGCGCCGCGCGCCAGAGGGTGGGCGAGCAGCGGCGCCCGTGCCGTAACCCCTTTCCCCTCGGCGGACGGTAGGCGCCTCATCGAGGCGGAGGGGGGCGCGGACGGGCGTGGGCTCGGCGCGATCCAGATCGACGGCGTCGACATCTCGCGCCTCAACCTCTCGCAGCTCCGCTCGCGGCTGGCAATCATCCCGCAGGACCCGGTGCTCTTCAACGACACGGTGCGGTACAACCTCGACCCCTTCGGCACCGCCGACGACGACGAGCTCGAGCGCGTGCTCGAGCTGGTGCAGCTGGCCGACGCGATCCGCGCCGTCGAGGGCGGCCTCGACCACAAGGTGTCCGAGGGCGGCGCAAACTTCTCCGTCGGCCAGCGCCAGCTGCTCTGCCTCGCGCGCGCCACGCTGCGCCGCTCCTCTGTGCTCGCGCTCGACGAGGCGACCGCCTCGATCGACAACGAGACGGACGCGGTGCTGCAGACGGCGATCCGGCAGATGTTCGCCGAGTGCACGGTCCTCACGATCGCGCACCGCCTCCACACCATCATGGACTCGTCGCACGTGATGCTCTTCGACGCGGGCGCCCTGGCCGAGTTCGACGACCCGCACCGCCTGCTGTCCGACCCCGCCTCCTCATTCTCGCAGCTGGTCGACAAGACCGGCTCCGCTGCGCCGCAGCTTCGCCAGATGGCGCGAGCGGCGCACGAGGCGCGCGCCGGCGGGAGGTCGCGCTTGGCTGGCCTCGACACGGACGGCGACGGCGTCGTGGACGTCACGGAGCTCGCCGCGCTCACCGGCGGCGACGCTGCGGCGGCGCGCCTGGCGGCGCTCGACAGCAACCAGGACGGCGTGCTCGACGAGAGCGAACTGAAGTCCACAAGGTCGGCCATCGGCGCCGCTTCGCGCTTGTGATGGAGTGGACGGTTGCGGGCAGGAGGCTGGCGCAGCCGGCGTGGTGGCTGCGAGGTGGGCGAGCCGGACTCTTACTTGCCAGCAGAGCGCCCGCCTGGAGATGTGTGGTGGTGTCGGCTCGTGGTGTTTGGAGAGAAAGCACAGAAAGGGGCACATGACTGTCGAGACAGTGTGGGGATATTATTATCGTGGTTTGTAAAAGCGACAAGAGAGAGAGTCTCAAGAGACAAGACTCATCAAGAGACCCCCTCGCCTCCACCAGACACGGTCGCCGGTCGGTCCTTCGGAGTTGCCCTCGTGCGCCGTCGCGGCGAGACATCATACTCTACACGCACACACTCTCTTGGTCGGCGCCCTATCACGCCCCCCCCCCCTGCGCTATCGCGTGGTCTCCGGCAGCACCTCCGCGACTTGATCGAGCGACAGGCCGTGCAACGACGAAAAGGAGCGATGCACGTCCGAGCCGCCACTAATGCTCGGGTCAATCTCGCAGAGCTCGGACGTCTTCTGCTGCACCGAGCGGTGCAGCGCAGCGATCTCGCCCTCGAGCCTCTCTTGGTCTTTCTCCACCATCGTCCTCGTCTTGCCGTGCGGCCGCCGCACGAACGTGTCGCCGAGGCACACCCAATGCTTGGTCGCCGCCGCCGCCGCCGCCCCTTGCCGCTCCACCCTCCGCAGACTCGCCATGGCCTGAGGGCGGAGAGACGAAGGGTGTGGGAGCGGACGCGGGATCGCACGGCGGGGCGCGGGGCGAGGAGGGGCGGACCTCTCGCGTGTGCTGGCGCCGCGCGTCCAGCTCGACCATCTGCCGCCGCTCAGCGAGCACTTCCTCCGCGAGCCGCTCGACTCGCGTCACCCGCGACAGCACCGCGCTCGCCGACGCCTGCGCCGCGGCCGGCGGCGAGGGCCTCGCTGCCGCCGTCGCGTCCGAAGGCGCCCCGACCGCGGCCGGAGGCTGCCTGCGGCCGCCGGCGGGAGAGCTCTCGCGCTCGTCGCCTGACTCCTCGCTGTCGTCGTCCGAGTCCGACGACACCCCAATGTGATCCCACTTTGAGTAGTCCATTCTCGAACGAGGCTGACGCACTGGGCTGCGCTGTCCGAACGATGTACTTCCTGGGGGCGGAGGCGCGAACCCCGTCCGAGGTCTCCGAGGCGCAGAAAGAAGGGAAGGAAAGCGGGGCGGTGTGCGCGCTGTGCCTCTGAGTTCGTGCGTCGCCCATCTGGAGATGCCCGCCCTATTTATTTTATAGACACTAGGCACGGGATTGGCGCGCACTGGCACTACCAGGTACACCACGCACGGGAGCCAGGAAAGATTTATACGAAGCGCGATCTGGCACCTCTCAATGTCTCAAAGCTCAACACTGGCACGACAGCAGACGAGAGGGGGAGAAAGAAGACAATTCCGGAAGAAGAAAGTACGAGTTGTGATCAAGGCTCTTGGCTCAACTGAAACGATCTGATAATTGTGTGACAACGACCAAGGGACACGCCTTACGCGCTCAACGTGAGCGACTAAGGGAAGCCGCCATGCTGCCGGTGGACCTCTTACCGGATATGGCCCACCAGGAGCACACCGGCGAGCTGATGGAGCACGGGAATGCCGGCAACGCCCTCAAGAAGGTCGACGCCGACACCCCTTCCCGCTCCAGCAGCTCGTGCACTGCGCCGACCTTGAACTGCTCGCTCGCACTGCTGCTGGTGCTCAGCCTAGTGCAGGTGGCGGCACCCGTCGCCGCTATTCTCTCCGGGGCGCTTCCCATCGACTGGAGACAGTTCGGCATCGGGGTCGCCTTCCTCGTCGGCAGCGACGTTGTGAGACGCTCGCTCTTTGTCGTGCTCCGTGTGCTCTATCTGAGGCGCATTGGGCTGAGCGAGGAGGTGATCGACGAGATCAACGGGACGCGGCTCGACCTGCCTGCAGACTGGCTGCCCAAGCTCCTCGCAGACCCACGCCTCAAGACTCGCATCAAGATTTGCGACGTTCTTTTCCGGAAGGGTGGCCATGTGGTGACGCTAACTTCAACCATCGTCTTCAACGCTCTCCTCGTCTCCGACCTTGGCGCGCTTGTGCTCTCGGTGTCTCTCGGGTCGCTGCTTCTCATCACTATCCAGGCTACTGCCGTCTGGCTCTTCAACGGCCCGGAGCACCGCGCCAAGTGGCGCTGGCTATCCTTTTTGTTCGGCGCCGCCGACAGGATTCGGGACGGTCGCCTCGGGCAGCAAAACGCGATGATGGGCTCCATCAGCATGATGTGGGGGATCGTCGCCTCTTTTGGCATCGCGCTGCTCGGCCTGCCGCCACAGGAGAACGCGGAAAAACTGTGGGCGCTCTCCACCCAGCTGGTGTTGCTGCCGCTCACGTATGGGGATGCAATGGGCGAAATAATTGGCACGCCATTCGGGCGCCACCGCTTCAAGGTGCGTGGCCTGGGCGAGATCAATGAGAAGTCGCTCGAAGGCTGCGCCGCAGTCTTCATGGGCTCGCTCATTCCCGGGCTTATTGTCCTCGGCAGTGGTGCCGCGGACCCCGACGCCATGCCCGCCGCTTGGGGCTTGGTCGCAGTCATCGCGGCTCTCACAACTCTCACCGAGACCATTGCCTTTCGGTCGACGGACAACTTTGTCATCCCCGCGTGTAACGCTATCCTGGTAGTCATATGGTGGCACGCGGCGGAAGCTATCAATGGGAACGACCCCGCATTCGACCTCGCCAACATGAGCGACACGTTTCGATCACCCGCTTTTGGCTCGACACCCACACTCGTCCTCGTCGAGTAAAGGAAGCACGGCGCTGCTGACGCAGTGACAGCCTCAGGCCGCTCTATCCCCAACCCTGAGGTGAGGGGTCGCTTACTACTACTACTACTACCCTGAGGCGAGGAGTCGAGAGACGTCTCAGGGCTCTGAGGGGCGTGGGCCGGGCCAACAACATTATAGCCGAGAGGCGAGACGAGCATGCAACATTAGTCGTTACGACACTCTGGTCCGAGAGAAACGTGTGAGTGGCGCGCGTGCGACACTCATCGTCTCTCTCGCGTAATCACAGCATGTGGCAGAGGTGCAGACGATAAAATGAATCGTGACTAAAACAACGCGTATAGAGGACGCATACATTAGCGAGAGAGAGAGATGATCTCACACTAGATTCGTTCGATCACTGGGACAGGCTCAAGACCTGCCGCCCTCTGTCTCGCAAGGTCATCCACGTCAGGAAACACTCGTTGCCGAGCGGCTAGCCGGGGCTGGAAGCAGGCGGCCGATGAGTCCTCTCGGCTGCCGCTTTGATCGCCGGTCTCGACACGGCGAACGAAGCTGCGCGCTGGCTGGACCTGCGGCATCGCGTGCCTCTCCCAGCGGTGCGTGCCAAAGGCGTTCTCCAACCAGAGGCGGCCCGCAAGGCAAGAAGTCGGCCCCGCTCTCAGGGAGAGTGGCTCAAGGAGGAAGATGCGCGCGGCCATGGACGCAGCGAGGCTGGCAAGGACCTCCGCGTGGTGATTTTTCCACAGCCGATTCGTGACAGTGAGCCACCCAGTGAGGACTAGCTCCGCCAGGCTGATGAGGAATTGTGCGGCCCAGCACAGGCACATGGTCGCCTGAGCCTTTCTCGACGGACGAACAGGTAGTACAATGGCGGCAGCACCCCAGTCCTTGGCGTGCAGCTGGTCGCGCAGCAGCTCTCGGGCCTCGTCATCCGAGGTGTTTGGTGGGCGCGATGCGGCCCTCCCTGAGGTCCGCTCGACGTCGAGGGACTCCACCTGCCCATCACTCCGCACCAGGCTGAGACGAGTGCGGTCCGCGCCGGGTCCACCCACGTGCTGCGCCACGGCGCGAACTCCCACGCGGCGGTCTGCGGCCTCATCGCGCGGGGCGAAGGATACCTCGATGAGCCTGGACTGTAGCACATCCGCCGCGCGCCGGCACTGGATAAAGAGCACCGCGGCGAGCCACTGCATAGCGACCGCCCAGGCAGCCGACGCAAAAGCGGCCGCAATCACGCTCGGCGCAGAGACACGGCTCGAGCCGCTATTCCCGTACACGGCCGCCTCGTACGTTGCGACGGCAAGGCCGTGTGCGTACACCGAGGAGAAGAGCGCCTTGACGAGCCACGTGCGACGGAACCAGTCGGGGCGGGGCAGCAACAAAAAGGCCCGAGAGCGGGAACCCCAACTCGTGGACGACCACCGTGGGGGAGGACAGAGCAACCAGAAGCGCGGGAACCGGGCCCTCGGACCCGAGGCTGCGACCGGCCCAGATAGTAATAACGGCAGCGTGGAGCACGGAGCGGCGCCGTCATCCCGCGCAAGTGGCTCTCCGATGGCCGGCGGAGAGGGCGGCGGAGAGGGTGTGATGCTGGGAGCGGAGGGGAAGGCGGGCGGGAGCTCTCTGGCGACGTTCTGCTCTGTCTGCAGGTCATCAGTCCTGTCCATATGGTAGGCCACAGCGAGAAGCAAGAGCTCCAAGAGGAGGAGTAGGAGCAGCCAGAGCCAGTCTGGCAGTCCGGCCTTGTCTGCGTCCTGCCCCTCGTCGGTCCCGGGCGCCTGCGGCGGCGGCGACGGCGGCGACGGCGGCGACGGCGGCGACGGCGGAGGTGATGGCGGCGACGGCGGTGACGGCGGCGACGCCGGTAGGTCGACGATGAACAATGGCGAGGGCGGCGGCGGGGGCGAGCTGTCCGCCGCGACGCATCCACCGCTCGGCGGGGCCACGAGCACGATACTTCCAAAGGGCAAGCCCACCGCCGCGGAGAGAGAGCCTTCGAATCCTTCATCGTCGAGACGTGCGATGCCTTCGCCGACGGATGTGGATGGCACGTTGATCAGGACGCTCAGCGTTCCCGCCCACCCCTCCGACACGTCCATCTCACCCGCAATATCGGCCAGAATGTCGGCCAGCAAGCCACGGAGCGCCGCCTCCACGCGGCCGCGCAGGTTCTCCCCCTTGGCGTTGACACGGAGGCCAAAGCGAAGGTAGCAGACGAGGTCGGTACCCGGACTGAAGGGCGGGAGCGGCGGCGGGGGCGGGGGCGCCGGCGGGTACGACGGCGGTGACGGCGGGTACGACGGCGGCGAAGGTGCCGCCGGCGGCGAGGGCGGCACGGCCCAGCGGAGGGATACGGCGGAGCACACAGGCCTGCGCGCTCCAGAAGGGCCACCAACCCTCTCTAGGACGCAAGCGAGGTGCACGCCTTCCCCAAGCTCCACCTCGGAGAGCATGATGGCACGCAGCGCTTGCTCGCTCAGTACGATCGGCGGCACCATGGGCGAGTCGCCGAGGCGTGCGGCCTGGTCAAGCGTCTGCGGAGTCTCGTAGAGGTGGCACGTGACGGGTGCGGTCACGAGGATCTGGTCCGCCGCGCCCGGCTGGACACAAGAGAGGATTGCACCCAACCCCCCCGAGGAGGCAGGGTCGAGGCTCGTCTCGAGCGACACGGGAGTCGACGCAAGCCCGCCAAACGGGATGCCGCTGCCGCTGACATACTGGCGGCAGGCGGGAAGCGCGCCTCCGAGCGACTGGTCTTGCACGATGACGTCGGTCGAGGAGCGCACCTCGAGCCTGGCCACGGCGGCGCAAGTCAGGAGCAGCGCGATGTGCTGGCCGACAGCCCCGCCGAGCGACGCGACGGGAAGCAGCGACAGCGGCGTGGCGGCGCCCTCCACAAAAATCCGCCGGCTTGCGCTCAGGCCAACGGGCCCGTCGGCGCCGACGGAGAGCGCGTCGCAGGCAGACTGGGAAGGGACCCCGTACAGCCGGTAGCAGACCAGCCCGAGCCCCTCGCGCACGGTCATCACGCGCCGGACAAACAGCGCCGCGTTTGGCGTCGTGAGGTAGGAGGCGGGCGACGCGCGCAGCCGGCAGAGCCGGAGCGGAGAGCGGTCGTCGCACCCCGAGGTGCGAATCGCCTGGCACGCGCCCGTCCCCGCGGTGGTGTAGTCGCGGTAGCAGATGACCATGGCGTCGGGCGCGAGCGATCCGTGCGATGACGCCGTGAGGAAGCCCGCCGAGTGGGAGGTCGCGATGAGCGGCTCGGCGGACGACACCTCGACGAGGAGGGAGCCCGCCGCGCCATAGACGCGGAGGGAGGTGCAGCGGACGCGTCGGGGCGCGACATGCGTCTCAGGAACCTCGGTGTAGCACAGCAGCGCGGTCGACTCGCCGAGGGCCGCGAGCGCCATGTATGCTGCGCGGCCGGGCAATGCGGCTGCAGGGCCAAAGCTGAGCTGCGGCGGAGGGCCGGCCGTGGCGCCGGGGGAGTCCAGCCGGACCGCGACGCACTCGCCGCGCTGTAGCCTCTCCAGGTTGCGGTAGCACACGATGCCCCGGCCAGAGTGGGGCTGGCCGGCCGGCGGCCGCAGCACCACGCTCGCCAGCATGTCGGCGCTGCCGGCGAAGCTGCCGGCGGGCCGGGCAGCCAGCAGGGAGAGATCGATCGAAGCGACGGCCGCGACGAGCAGCGACCAGGCCACCACCCGCGACGCCGCCATGCTAGAGCCGCCAGAGCCGCGTTGGGGGCCACCGAGGGCGCGTCAGTTTCGCCCGCGGCGGCGTGCACTTCCGCGCCCCCGTGTCACGCACGGAGCGGAGTGTGTATAGAGGATCCTAAATAGAGAGGTGTTGCAACACAGAAGGACTTCTGTTGCCACCAAAACTGTCCCTCCCCTCCCTCCCGCGCGCGGGGGGGCGGCGGGTGTGCGGGATATCTGTCTGCGATGTGTCATCATGAGAGAGAGAGAGAGAGAGAGAGAGAGAGAGAGAGAGAGAGAGAGAGAGAGAGAGAGAGAGAGAGAGAGAGAGAGAGTTGTGAGTGTGTCCAGGTAGGTAGGTAGAAAGGTAAAGAACAGCCAGGCTCGGACTGGACACCAACGCGGTATGGGTGGACGCTAGACAGATAGATGATGACGACACGCACGAGCGACACACAGACACAAAACAGGCTCACAAGACACACAGCCAGCTTGCTGCCACACACCCTGAGTTGGCGTACACATAACTCAGGGCCACATCCTCCCTGTCGCCCCCCCCCAGTACTCCAAGGCGCCAGAAATACAAATGTGTCCAATGTGTCAAAAAAATTTTTTTCCTCCGCGACCCTTGCCTTCTACGAGTAGGCTGTGGACAGCTGAACGCTGCTCGCCAGGCTCGCCCCAGCATCCTCGGCTAGACAAAAACCCCGAAGAGGCGAGTACCTCGCCAGTCGAGCACTAGCTTCCCGCATGAGGCTCCGCCACCGTCCCCACCCGGACGAGACCCGCATCAGCGTGCGCGAGACCGACCGGCGCAAGCGGCGACGATTTGACGGCCGCCTTCGCGGCTGGCGCTTGGCTTGCGGGGCTGCTCTTTTGGTGTGCACGGCGGCCGTCCTCAGTGCCGAGAGGCCTGTGCTCGCGCTGCAAAGAATCCTTGGCCACCCGCAATCGTGGCTGATTGACAAGATCAACCCGCGCATTGCGTGGCTACGAGGTCGCCGCTGTGCCGGTGGCGCTGCAGCGGACGCTCTCAGAGTTTGTGGACTCGAACCCGCCGGCCCGGTTTTTTTCCGGCCGTGGTGGTTCGATTGGGGAGGGGGGGCTCGAGGACTTCATCATCTTTGGCCCCACCCGCTTTGCGCGCCTGCCGGCACGGATTGAGGCCGCTGCCGCCCAGCAAATGCGCCCGATTCTCGAAGCCTTTTGCGACTGCGCACTGGCGCCGTCGCCCAGAGTGCATGGGCTGCGTACCTACTTGCCAGGCGCGACGCTCGCGGCGCACCTCGACTGGCCCGACGCCTGGGTCGTCTCCGCGACCCTCTGCGTGCGCCGCAACGCGTCATTGCCGCCGTGGCCAGTGGCGCTGCACGGACGTGGCGTGCCTCGCGGCGGCACCGCCGTCGCTCTACGTGAGGGCGAGGCGCTCTTATACGAAGGGTCGCGGCTGTGGCACGGCCGACCCCAGCCGCTCTCGGGCGAGTACACGGGCCTCTTTGTCGGCTTCGTGCCGCTCGACTATCCCGCGCACGCCGGGCTGGCCACGCGAGCCATCCATGCGGCTGTCCGGGTGGTCAAGGCGGCGGCGTTCCGGCGGTATCGTGGCCACTGACGGTCGTTAGTTACTTAGGAAAGCGAAGAACAGCCAGGCTCGAACTGGACACGGTAAAGAAAGAAAGAAAACAGAAGGGAGGGATGGCCGTGGTGTTTGTTTTTCTTTTCACGACCCCATTAGCTGTGTGCGGTGCCGAAGCCGCTCGACGCAGCATCTCCGCCACACCCTCCCCTCCATGCTGCTGCTCGCCACTGCCACCGTTGTCCACACGGCGCCCCGCGCCGCCGTCGCCGGCCGCTCCGCTCCGCTAGCGCGGTCCTCGGCGCCTCGCCTCGCCGTCGAGTCTGTGTCGTCGCTCGAGGCGGAGTTTGAGGCGGTCAAGGCCGCATCTGTCGTGGCCGAGGCGCTGGCACCGATGGTAACTGCGTCACCGGCCCGCCGCCAAAGAAAAAGGGACGCGGTCCGCGGCGCGCTGCGGTCGGTCGGCTCTGCCCTCACCCTGCGCCGCACTCTGGACGAGGCGGCAAAGGAAATTGTCGACGAGTCGTGCGACCTGGACGAGCCCGAGGTGTGCACCGACGAGTCCGTGTACCGTCGGACGGTGAGCAGCCTCGTCGGCGTGATGAGTCGCACGCTGCGCTTCTCGCGCGGCGAGGCGACCGCGGCGGAGCTTGCGGCGACCGGCGACGAGATGGAGGCCGGGTGGGAGAGCAAGGCGCAAGGATCGGCGCTGAAGCGGACGCTCGAGGTCTGGGCGTTCCTCGCCTCGGCCGCGCTCAAGGTGCTCAAGGCCTCGAAGGCCAAGGGCGGGCCGGAGGCGGCCTCTGCCGCGAAGACGGCCGCCGCAGAGTTCATCCGCGACTCCCTCTTCAAGCTCGGGCCGACGTTCGTCAAGCTCGGGCAGGTGGCGGCGGCGCGGAGCGGCACCCGCCTCGCACACGCGCCCATGACGCGTGCGTGCCGTGTCCCCTCGGGCAGGTTGTGTCGACGCGGACCGACGTGCTCGAGAAGGAGTACATCGAGGTGCGAGGCGACACGTCCATCACGTGTCCACGACACGCGTGAGCGCGTCCGCGTCCCGCAGGTGCTGCGCGACCTGCAGGACAACGTGCCCGGCTTTGGCGGCGCAAAGGCGATGGAGATCGTGGGCAGGGAGCTCGGCGCGCCGGTCGAGGAGGTCTTCGACTCGTTCGAGGAGGAGCCGATTGCCGCGGCGTCGCTCGGGCAGGTGCACCGCGCCGTGTACAAGGGCATGCCTGTGGCGGTCAAGGTGCAGCGGGCGGGCTTGCGCGAGCTGTTCGACACGGACCTGAAGAACCTCAAGGCGCCCGCCCGCCTGGCTCGGGCACGTCCGACGACCTCGGCCCGTCCGTGACCTGTCGGCGGCACGCCGCGCAGGTGCTCGTCAAGCTGCTCGACAAGTTCGACCCGAAGTCGGACGGCGCCGACCGGTCGTACTCGGACATCTACGAGGAGTCGTCCAAGCTGCTGTACGAGGAGATCGACTACGGGCTCGAGGCGGCGAACTGCCTCCGCTTCGCCGAGTCGCTGCAGCAGGCGGGCCTCGACTACGTCCGCGTGCCGCAGGTCTACAACGAGGTGACCACGCCGCGCGTGCTCACGCTCGAGTACGTGCCCTCCTTCAAGCTGACCGACCTGCCGAGGGTCGAGGCGGCGGGCCTCGACCCGAAGCTGCTCGCCAAGAGGACGGCGGACGCCTTCCTCACCCAGGTCCTCTCGACAGGCGGGGCCCGCGCCCCGCCCACCCCGCGCCCCGCCCACCCCGCCCGCCGCTCCCCCCCCCGCCGCTGCCCCCCCCGCCGCTCCCTTCCTCCGGCTGGGCCGCCCGCGCAGCGCCCTGTCCCTCTCGCGCAGGCTACTTCCACTGCGACCCTCACCCGGGCAACCTGTGCGTGGGCGAGGACGGCAAGCTGGTCTACTACGACTGCGGCATGATGAACGAGCTTCAGCCCAACGTCTTCAGCGGCTTCAAGGAGGCGTGCGGCGCCGTCTTCGGAGGAGGGCCCTTCATCTCCGAGCTGCAGCTCGCAACGAACGCGAAGAGGCTCGTGGACGCTCTCGAGCTGATGGGGGCGAGATCTAGCCGAGACGGGTCTGCCGAGACGGAGCAGGTGCAGCCGGGATGTCGCTCGAGGCTGGCGGGGGCGCACGCGCCTGCGGGCTCCACCTTGCGTGTGTGGGAGGCTGGGCTCCACCTTGCGTGTGTGGGAGGCTGAGCGCTTTGCTGCGAGCGCAGGTGCTCGCAAAGTCGGCGGACCGGCTGGCGGTGGAGAAGCTCGCTCGCTACTTCATCCGCACCTTCAAGCAGATCCAGCAGGGCAAGGCGGCGTCCAATATCAAGACGACGCTCGGCGCAGACCTGCAGGCGCTGACTGAGCAGCAGGTCTTCCGCTTCCCCTCCACATTCACCTTCATCTTCCGCGCCTTCGCGTCGGTCGACGGCATTGGCAAGGGGCTCGACCCCGAGTACGACCTCGCCAAGTTCGCGCAGCCCTTCATCGAGTCGCTGCAAGACTCGAGCGAGACGCCCCTCGCCAAGCAGCTGCGAGTCTTTGGCACCGCGACCGGACTGCGCGCCAGCGACATCGACACGGCCATCACACAGCCGAAAAAGGTTGCGTACCTCGAGCAAACGGTGCGGGCGATGGAGCAGGGGCAGCTCAAGATCCGCGTGCGCTCCATCGAGAACGAGCAGGCGCTGGCGCGCCTCGCGTTGTCTGGCGAGGTGACGAACAAGCTGCTGGCCTCCTCCATACTCCTGAATCTCGGCCTCGCGGGCGTCGGCGCTGTGCCGCGTGCCGTCTGGTTCGCCGCCGCCGCCGTGATGGGCGCGCAGACGGCAGCGGCGAACCTCAAGATTAGTTTGTTCGACAAGAAGGCGGCCAAGTACGAGTCAAAAGAGTTCAACTGAGGCCTCAAGTCGTCATGTACTGTTCGTGCGGTTGGCGGCATATCTCGGAGAGCGGCCGCTGTGTGGTCGCCGAGCACGCCGACGCCCCTAGGAGTCGGGGTCGGGGTGTCGGGCCGCGTGTTCGTATTTGTTCTCTCGCGCTACGCGGTGACGGGTGACGCGTCCGGTTTTCGGTTGAGATCCGAGTGCCGTGTGTCTCACCACGCCGGTGGTTACGGCTCTACACGGGGCGCGACGAGCGCCCCAGCGCGAAACCGCACGAAACAGACTGAGGGACCTCTGTCTCTCGCCTCTCGTCTCGGCGCGGCTCCTCGCGGCTGACACCTCTCGCGTCTCGGCTCTATAGCCTCTACCGGCGCGCCATCCCGCCAAACGACTGTCGCGTGTGTCTGTCGCGTGTGGAGCTGAGGCGTGAGGGACGTCAGAAACAGACGAGAGAGAAAGCCATGGATTGAGTTGAGAGACGAATAAAGAAACAAAATAAACGGGGACACGGCACAAGACGAAATGTGGAGCGCAAAGGTCCCCCGTGCGCGGTCTTTGTGCAGGGTTCTTTGCGGGGGGTGGTCGCGGTTGGGAGCGTAGCGACTCTAGCCGGGACGACGGACGAGCGGGGATCAGGAGCGGGATTCGCATGTAATAGACAACAAGAGCCCCCGCACAGCTCAAGAAGAGCGGAACCGCTCAAGGATTTGCAGCGAGCGCAATCAGAGGGTGCATCTGTCACTACACTGTTACGGTACCGTGCTATCTGATGGTCTCAGACCCAGCCGCCCGTGACAGAGACGCGTTTCTTCGCGTCTCTCCCCGCCGCCGGGGAGTCAGCGTTGGACAGAGTATACCGGCCGCTCTGGCTCACCTGGCTCAGGCCAGTCCAGCGTGCCCCCGACGGGCGCGAGGCGCGAGGCGGAGACAGCGCAGGGGCTGGCCGGCCGCCGGCGTTGCGTGCTGGCAAAGGACTAGGCGCGTAGGAGCTTGCGGGCGAAGGCGAGGGCGAGCGAAAGCCGCGCATGGGCGAGGCGGGCACAGCACGAAAAATGGACGGCGAGGGCGGCACGCTGCTGGAGCTCGCCTGATGCGCCACCGCTGCACCGGCGTCCGGGAATACCTAGACTCAGACCAACAGCGTGACGCACTGGCGGCGGCCTCTCGCACAAGGAGTGGACAGCACACCCAGCTCGTCTCGCCCGTCATCATGTTGTAAAACAGCTGCTTTGTGGGCGAAGCCTCGTTGCCTTCGCCGCACGGCACCTTTTAGAGAGGGCGACAAGTGGGGCGGGTGCGGACGAGCGAGCCAGAGAAGCGTGGGCAGCGTACGCAGACCTCGATCCAGCCAGTAGGGAGGCCCTGCTTTGAGTCGGTCGTCTGCATCGGCGGCGTGGCCACGCTACCGTTCCTGGCAGGAGACTCGACGTGCGACTTGACGGCGCTGTCCTCTGTGGTTGGCAGCCCGCGTGGCGACTGCTCCATAAACACCCGGACGAGGGTCGCGCTCCGCTCCCCCCCCCCCTCCCCCGCACCAAGTCTAGACTGTCGACCACGAGGTTGGTGACGGCAAAGAGGAGAACGACGACGACATCGAGCAGCACTGTGACAGCGAGGCATGTGGTGGTGAACTGCCCCTTGGCCTGAAGCTCCTCGATGATGGCGATAGCGGATGAGGGCGAGCGCGCTGCGCCGAGGCACCCGGTGACGATGGCGACGCAGATTTTCTGCGTAGACGTGAGCTCGTTCATAAAGGGCATGAAGTAGGTGGCAAAGCAGAGGGTGCCGAGCACGACGAACGACCAGGTCACAAATGTGAGCCAAAAGAGGATGATGAGCACCGGCTTTAGGTTCTTGAGGATCTCCTGCAGGTGAAACTTGCCACCAGCAGAGAGGCCGATGAATCCGAGGGCCACCTGGCAGCATTCGTGGCGCCTGAGGGAATACTCGTTGGGAATTCGGGGCGACTGCCTGGCACACTCATGTACTGCCATGTGCCTTCACCGAATGGCTGAGTTGGACGGGCAGGGGTGATAGGCAGCAGGATGAGGTCAAACCTCATTGATCCACGAGAGACGCCCCACGTCGACCGTACTGAGCATAGACATGCCAAAGGGTCCGATCAGCACGCCGAAGAAAATGAAGAGAGTGATCGTCGGCAGGTTGAGCGGCTTCAGCACATATGCGCCGCTCTCCGCGGCCATACAGAGGATGCAGAGGGTGGCAAAAGGCTTCACCATCTGCAACGTGCATTCGCCCCAGCACCCCTCCGCGTAGCACTCCGCCAGGCCCACTGTCACATCGCATGCTTCCTCCAAGCTCTCGTCCGCATCCGCCATCCTGCCTGCGGGACGGGGGCGGCCTGCGTCCGCACCCGAATATGAAGCAAATGCCCCGCCAGCACCCTGCGAGAAACGAGTGAAACGCGCCCAGACGCGAGAGAGAGAGACCACGCCGGCAGATTCAAATCTCTCAGCAGTGTCGCCTCCGGGCATGTTCGTGTAAGACCAGCTTCCCTTTTCCCAGCAGTAAGCACGTACCTCGAGGTACTTACTAGTACAAACAACGACAAAATGGTGGGTGGGGGGCAGTGGGGCAGTGAGACGGCAAAACAAAAGAAGATCTCCGGGAGGCTCTGACGGGGCGGCGGCCCGCCAGTCCCCCGTAAAGCGCCTCGTTCGTTTCTCCTCGCTGTGGTTTTGAATGGTGGCCAACAAGAAAATTCAGATCCGCCGTTGCGCAGACTTATTCGTAGTCGAGCGCGTCGGAGAGGTGTTCGACACCGAGTGTGCGCGTAAAGCCTCGAAACTGCCCTTATGAGCCGGAGCGAGACGACGCGCCGACGACGGCGAACAACGGATAGTTTGTTGGAGCGAGCCGACGCACCGACGGACAGTGAGGTGCGTTGCCGGTGTATGCGAGACACTGGTCGCTTCATTGATTTGCGTCACGTCATATGCAACGATGCCACACCCAACGAGTGGCGAGGCGCTGGAAGAGGTGCCGCTGATGGAGTCGGCGGTGCCTATCCTCTCAGCTGATTTGCTGCGGTCGACCAGTCGAAAGTTTCTCAACTCGGTCGCGGTCTACATTGTCAGCCGGGAGTGGCAGGACCTGCTGTCTGTCTATATCTTCAACATGCACCCCATGCCGCACTGCTCCGCGGCAACGATGCAGCTCATGGGATGGACCTTCGCGCCTCTCGTCGTCACTCCCGAATGCACCCGTCACGCGGCGGCGAGGGCGCAGTTCCTCTACGCGCTTGCGCTACTCATGGTGGTTTCTGTTGCCTTGCGGCCCATTCTTGATGCGAGCTGGCGCCTCACTGGACGCGTGTGTGCAAAGTTTGTCGGATGGGGCTGCGCCGACGCCATCGTGCAGCTCATGCGGGAGCAGGAGCTCGATTCTCCTGCCCCTTCAGTTGGTGCGGCTGTGCTCGTCTTGGTGCTGGCCGCCATGCTCTTGGCCAGCATGGGCGCGACCCGCACGACGGAGCTGAAGGCCAGCCAAGGCGGCGTATGCGCATCAGTCCGCGCGCTTCTCGCCTCCTTGCCCGTTGTCGATACCGTCGTGGTGTTCCCTTGGATGTGCGTGAACGACGCTTGCGTCTCTGTCCTCTTGAGCCTGCGGAAGCGAGGCGCCTCGGCAGTGGCGACCCGGCCGCTCCTGTTTGCCTATGCTTGCATCCTCACCGCTGGCGCTGCAGCTGTGGCTGTGACCATCGGCGCCTGCCGCCGCCACCTCCAGCCGTGTGCACATAGCGAGTTGGGCCGGCGGCAGGCGCGCTGGCAGTGCTGGATGAGGCTGATCGCTGAGGTTTGCGCCCTCGCCGAGGCCGCATGCGGCGGGATTGCCGGTGCGGCGTGGACGAGCGCGATCTTTGCCGACGATGAGGAGCTGACACCGCTCTCGACGCTGCGTGCGGCGAGAAGCGCCGTCGGCCTAACCGTCGCCGCGATCGTCTGGCTTGGGCTGACAGCTTCGCAAGTAGAGGCGGCTGCCACCGGCCGCGCCGAGACTGGCAGCGGCGGGACTGCCCTCCAGTGGCTGAGAATGTGCGCCGCCTTCCTGGGCGGGGCATGCTCGTGGTTTGTGGGCTGGAGCTGGGTTCTCCTCCTCCGAAACATTCACGCCCTCATCGCGAGGCTCTTTATTCGGCGCGGCGCCGCGCCCGTTTTCGGCATCTTTGTGCGCGTCGACCAGGCGAACCTGCTCGGCTTCGTCGGGCAAGCGGCGTCCGTCCTCACCCTCGGACTGATAATGACGGGCGCAGTGCTTGCGGCCAGCAGCGGCGGCGTGTGCGCAGTGCAGATCATACACAGGGCTGGCGAGCGCTCGGCGCACACGCTGCTTCGTGGCACTCGCCTGTCCCGGAGCGCGTCGCTACTGAAGGGAGGCTCGGGAGGGCGAGAGAGCGTGAGTCGTACGCTGAGCACGTCCTGGTAGTACCGACGGCCGGTGTGGACCACGTCCATGGAGGCACGTGCTTTTCCTTTCCTCGTTTGCCTATGTTTCATGCGCGCCACACCGCGCCAGTCCGCACCCGTGTCGTGCAGCCTGTGTCTCACAAGGGGGACGCACAGGGGATCCCACAGGCAGTGAAGCCAGACGGACGAACGACGTTGGGCTGATTTCTTTGATCTTTCTCTTCCGGTCCGCTCACCGCGTTCCGTGATCCTGTCCTCCTCCACAACCACATGCAGCCTCGAACTTCTCCATGTCGGTGCCGAAATCCGCAAGCCCGACATTTTTTGACAGATCGACCTCAGCGCAACGCAGCAAGGACGGTGTGAGACTGGCATAGATCTCGTCAACCTTGCTGGCAGAGCAGCCCATGGGTGAGCCAAAGGCGTTTCATTTCTAGCTCCCCCTCTGTATCCCCCTGCCCATCATTGCAGGCTCCTTTCGGGAATCCTGGGAGAATTCGAGAGAACTCCCGGCAAAAATTCTTCTTTCGCTACTCTAGTAAAAGAAAGAAAACGCACTCCCTTCCTCGCGCTGGTTGGAGTCCCGCCTCCGCGCGCGTCTGCACGAGTGCAAGCGACTGGCCGATCTCTTCGCTAGACAACAGCTTGTCCAAGCTCTGGCGCTTAGCGTATGCTTCCTGTCTGGGAGAAGCAGCACCTCTTCCGGCCAACCAAGCGGAGGTGGCGTGGCTGCCGAGTCTCGCCGCTCCTCATCCTCCCACTCCTCGCGTGTGGCTGCATCACCTTCACGCTGCTTCGGGTTCTGTTGGAATCCAGCGCGGAGCCGGAGGACGCTGCGAGGCCGGATCGGGAGGTGCCGCTGCCTCCGAGCCTGCCGCTTTCGGCGATGACTCACTCGGATGCTCTTGCCGCCATGTATGCGGCGAGCGCCCTCGGCGCGGCTAGGAGCGCGGCCCAGGCAGCCCAGGCTTGCGGACAGGGAGCGATACGCTACACGCTCCTCGCCGTCGCCGACCAGGACGAGCGGGCCGTCAACCACTCGTCGGGCGCGCCTTAGGGAGTGAGCCGCAGCCCAGGGAGTGCGGCATCAGCGCGGCATTGGCTTGCTCCGTAGGGGAGCTGGTCTCGAGCCTGCTGCGCGGTACTCTCTGCGATGGCCGCGACAGCGGCGGCAGCCTTTCGGCGCGCGGCTGGCCTCTTCTCTTCTTGCCGCGCTGTGCTGCCCAGAGCGCGCCTCTCCTCCGCGCAGGTGACGTGGGGCGACGCTGTGCCGCTGCGGTCGCACCTCGCGGCGTCGGGGCGTGGGATGGAGCTGTCGACCCTCACTTGGTTTGGAGGCCGCTTGCTCTCGTGCGACGACCGGACAGGTGCCACCGCCGCATCCCCACCCCCGCAGCCGCCTCGAGACACACGCAGCGGTGTGGTGACAAGCAGGGCGGTGTCACTGGGCGGTGTCACGAGCAGGGCGGTGTGGGCAGGGATCGTCTACGAGATCTCGAAGGGGGAGGCGCGGCCGCGCCACATCCTTGCGGGCCCGACCGCCGCCGCCCACTTCAAGTGCGAGTGGGCTGCGGTGAGGCACGGCCAGCTCTACGTCGGAGGCATCGGCAGGCGGCTGGATCTCGCGCCCCGCGCCCCTTCTTCCTCTGCGCCCCGCGCCCCTTCCTCTGCGCCTCGCGCCCCTTCCTCTGCGCAGCCTCGGGACCAGTCACCCCACGACGCAGGCCGTTTCACTCGCCCAGCGGCGCGACGACCCGTAACGACCTCGTCGCCACCATCGACACGGCCGGCGTCGTCTCGCTCCGCAATTTCTCCGCCGTGTACGATGAGCTCTGCCGCGCCGCCGGCTGCGGCCGCGTCGGCTATGCGACGCACGAGGCGGCCGCGTGGGTGGGCAGCCACGGAGAGGTGCGGCCTTTGCGCCGCCGACCCACAGCTGCCTCCCGACGGCCCACGCCGGACTCGTGCCCGCGACCGCGTACTCAGCGGAGTCCGCCCTTTGGCCCTGCGCTGCGCCTCTGCTAGCAAGGCTCGCGATCCGTCGTCGCGCTTGCCTCACCCCCTGTCGGCGGCCCCAGGTGGGGTCGTGGTACTTTGCGCCGCGCCGCTTCTCGAGCGAGCCGTTCGACGAGGCTCAGAGAACCCCCCCCCCCCCCCGCGCGCGCTGGCGGCGCCTCTCGCGGCGCTTCTCACAGAGGCACCGCGCCCTCGAGCAGGCTCTCGACGAGACTCGCGCTGGCCACACCCTCTTGCGATACTCCGCGCCGGGCGGGCGGGACGGCGGCCACCCCGTCTCCCTCCTTTCGCCGCGCAGCAGTGGCCCGACCGGGGCGCACGTGTCCGCGGTGCCTCTCGGCGGGAGCAGCGGGGCGGCGGACCCGTCAAGAGGCGTGTCTGCGCTCAAGCTGCTGCCGGGCCGCCGCGACGTCCTCGTCGCCCTCAAGACGGAGGAGTCGGGCGGCCGCGTGGCGAGCTACCTGTCCATCCTGCGGAGCGAGAGCGGCGAGGCGCTCATGCCCGACGCGGAGGTCGCGCAGGGGTTCAAGTTTGAGGGCCTCGAGGTCTCCGTGCCGACGTACGTGTAAGTCAGCCGTGGCCTTGGCGGGAGAGATTCAAGTTGCGTTTCTAGTGCCGGTGAGATGCCGTCGCTGTCCGCCTCTAGTTTGTGGCAGGTTGGCGTGCTGCTTGACGCCGTCACACCGACCCGCGCGTATGTTGTGCGCCACGGACCGATCCCCCGCGCTGTATTATTTAATAATAGTAAGTATTATTGATCTCTCGCGCGTCTCGGGACTCGGCCCCCCCCCCGGCCGCTCTCCCCCCGCTGCGGGCTGGGCTCCCACACACCCCGCGAGACGCGAGAGCCCTCCGCCCCGTGCACGTCTCGCGCGCTTCGCGCGCGTGTAGAGTTCCTCTTCGTCTTACTTACACGTACAGAGAGACGACATGGCAGTAGATGATGCAGAAGGTGCGCGCGCCGTCCTCTCCAGACTCTGTTTTTTCAAGCACCCGAGACGTTTGCCCTCGCGCGGAGCTCCAGCAGCGCGCTCGCCGCGGCGGCTCGATCGTACTGCCGCGCGATGTCAAGCGGGGTCTTGCCCGAGCCCGCCACCGCCGACACGTCGCAACCCGCCTCGGCGAGGAGCGACACCACCGCGACGCTTCCGCTCTCGGCAGCGCCGTGCAGTGCCGTCCACCCCGACAAGCTCTCGGCCCTTGCGTCAGCGCCGGCAGCGAGGAGCCGGCGCACCTCGTCCCGGTCTGCCGCCTCTGCGGCCCGGATCAGAGCCGTCTCGCCGTGCGCGTCGCGCGAATCGACCGAATCTCCGGCCGGCACCAGCGCCGCAACCATGTCGCTCAGCGTCTCCGTCGCGGGGCGGCAGGCGACGCCCAGCTCCGCCATGTCCGCCGCCGCGAGGACCTCCCGCTCGCCGATCGGGACCGCGCCGCCGTCGAAGGCCTCGTCCGCGCTGAGGCGCGCCGCCGCGTCTGCTAGGCCCATCCCGAGCAGCGAGGAGCGCAGCGCGTCGCGGCACTCTGCCGCCGGCACCCGCGCCTCGCAGCTGGTGATGTACCGCTGGCCGGCGGCGGCGGGGAGGGTGGCGGCGTTGACGTGCGCCTGTGCGCAGTCCCGCACGTCGACCGCGAGCCGGCTCTGGACTGGCGACTCGCCGTCCAGCCACGCCTGCACCATGTCCACCGAGAAGCCTCTGCAGCCGCCGCGAGGCGGACCGAAGATCATCGACGGGCAGAGGCTCACCATCTCACCGCCGAGGCGCCGAGTGAGCTCCCAAGCGCGCCGCTCCGACTCGGCCTTTGAGAACTGGTACGGCTCGAAACCAGGCCCGTCCCGACGGCTCACCGTGTTCCAGTCGGCGGCCGAGTAGCTCTCGCGGAGGGGCGTCTGACCCGCGCCGCGCACAGCTGCCATCGAGGAGGAGAACACCAGCCTAGCGCCGTAGGCGGCGCACGCGCAAACCATCTGCTCGGCGAGGAGAAGATTGGGACGCACGAGCTCCGCCTCCATGTCAGCGCACTTGCGAAAGACGGACGCGGTGTGGATAACTGCGTCCATCCCCTCCGCCACGCCTCGCGCCTCGACAAGATCGCAAAGATCGTCGACGGTGCGCACCTCGCTGCACCCGGAAAGGTGCGCCGTGCGCTGCCCGTCCTTGACGACAGCGCGGACGTGGTGGCCCTGCGCCGACGCAAGGTGGGAGACCTCAGCGCCGAGGTAGCCTGCCGCTCCCGTGACGGCGATGCGCAGGGCGAGAGCGTGAGGCAGGGCGAGGAGGAGGAGCCGCATCGGCAGATCGATTTCGTGGTGCGCTATGCGGTTGCGCGCCACGGCGGCAGCCTCACGCCGCACGTGTGAAGACTGCGGGAGTGCGCCTGCCTCCCGTGCATGCACTTGGAGAAGAGGAGAGGAGGACAGGGGAGAGGATGAGAAGAGGAGAGGAGAGGAGAGGAGAGAGGAGTAGAGATGGAGAGAGGAGGAGGGGGAGAGGAGAGAAGAGGG